TGAAGGCCGTGGGCCCCACTGAATGGCTGGTGACACCAGAACCTGGGGGTGAAATGTGCTCTCCACCCTCAGCTCCGTCCCGGCCCCTTCCCTCGGCCTGTCCCTGGGTCCCAGCCCCCAGGAGAGGCTTCAGCTTCCCGTTTAGGTGGGAGCCAGCCATGGTAGCTAGGGTGGGCAGGGGGTGCTGGGACAGAGGGAGCCGGGCAGCCGTAGGCCCTGACCCGTGCAGAAGGGGACCCTGGCTCTTCCCCTTCCAGAGCCTTGCGGCTGGCAGCCCCATCCCGGAGGGGCCTCTGCCTGTGTCTCTCAGGCCTGCCCCACCCCTTCAGCTCCACAACCAAGGAGCTGCTTGGGCCCCGGGGCGGGGTGGAGAGCCAGCAGGTCAGGGCTGGCCAGCCCCCACGCCCCGTGCACACGGGCAGCAGGCTCTAGGAGCCACGCCGACAGCAAGGGCACCAGAGCAGGCCCTGCTTTGGGGTCCTAATGCCTGGGACACCCACTTCCCTGGCCCCTCCACACCCCCACCCCATCCCACCCATCCCACCCCACCTAGCCCGACAGCTTGAGTCAGGAGGGGAGGCCGGGAGCAGCCTGGGAAGTTCCCACTGGGCCGTGGGGACCGGAGGGTGTGGTCCCGCGGGCTGGCAGCCTCCTCCCCCACAGGCCAGGGGGAGGGCCTGCGGCAAGTGCCAGGCCACAGTTGGCACCCAAGGGCCTCAGCCAGGGGCCGGGGTCTGCGGTCGGCTCCAAGCACGGCGGCAGTGCCATGCCTCTGCTCTGGGTCTCCGTCTCCCCACCTGTACCGTGAGGGCAAGAGGGCACGGCCACAGACCAAGCCCGTGGAGACACAGTTGGTCCAAACAGGAGGAGGCCTGGGGGACTCCTTAGCCCCCTCCCTGAGGTGGCAGCTTCTGTCTCCTGAGCCAGCCTGTGGGGGGCTGGGCACCACCCCAACCCCCACCCCCACTGGTCATGCCCTCAACACCCCCCTGCCTCACAAGGCCGCTGGTTCTCCCTCGCCAGGGCTCATGGGGTCCAGAGGCCGAAGGGCCTCTGCCAGGTCTCGGCCCACCCTTCACTTCCAGCCCCGGGGTCTGCTCCACTGTCCTGCTCCAAGGAACCCCGAACACACTCTGCCTGGCCTGGCAGAGACCAGAACCTCCCCCAGGAAGGGGCCTCAGCTTGGGTCCCCCAAGGGCTGACTTCTCTCTGGCCTGTCCCTGAGACCCCACCAGGAAGGTGTGACTCAGGCCTGCCGGAGTCCTCAGGGCATGTACAGGAGGTGGGGGGATCTAGCCTCAGCTCCTAGCGCATCAGGGCTGGGAGTGGGGAGGGGCAGCAGAGGGGTGAGGTGGGCATTGTCTGACACCCTCTTGAGACTCGGGGTATAGAGGGGTGCGGGGTGCTTTCTGTCACAGTCAGCCCGGCTCCTGCAGTGAGGGACAGGCCAGGTGCCCACCCATCCTGGGAGGTGCCCAGCTCCCACGGGAAGCTCTCCTCCCGTTTATGGCCACCCACACCTGCCAGACCCACTCTTGTTGCCCAGCCAGGGCAGGGCATGCCCCATCCCCAACCTCCTCCCTCACCTCCAGGCCAGGCAGGGGGAGTCCTGGGGAAGGGGCCAGCGGCCTCTAGGCAGCCTGTCTGTCCTTGGGGATGGCATTTAGGAAGCCCCTCTGGGGCCAGAAGCCCAAGTTTGGTTCTGGATTTTAACTGCCCCTCCAGAGCGCCCTGGGCCACAGCTTCCCTGAGGGCCCCAGGCCCTAGGGCTGGACCTTTGTGCTGCCCTCCAGCCCACCTGCCAACCCTGCTAAGTCGAAGTCTTGTGAGGGACGCGGCCGCCTTACCTTCCGGTACCTGCTGGCCAGGCAGTGAGGTGGGGTGGGGGCCAGAGCCTCCGGGCTCTCCTGGGACCCTTCACCCCTAGGCTCTCCACCCCTGCAGCCCCCACAGAGGGTGGCCCAGGCCCCCGGCAGAGGCCAGCATGGTGTCTCGGGCGGTGCGTGGCTGTGTGGGCAGAGCTGCAGGAAGGAGAGAGTGCGGCAGGGTGCAGGGGAGAGCTGGGGCTTCCTGTCCAGCCCCGGCACAGGATGGCCTGGTCAGCCATGGCCCAGCTTCGTGCCAGGCATGGCTGAACCTTCCCACCGGAGGCCCGACCCGGCTGCTCGTTCCCAGTGGGGCTGACAGGCAGGTGGCCGGCCAGTGAGCCCGGGGGCCAAATGGGCGGTTACACTGAGTGGGGAGGAGGGGCGGAGGAGTGGGGGTCACCGGGTCTGCTGCCTGCCCTCCCCGCATGCCCCCTTCCGAGTGTCCATGCACCCCCGATAGCGCCATGAGGGAGGGGTTCCACGGGCAGGTCCTGCGGCCGAAGCACCGGCCGAAGCTGCTCAGGTCCCGGGCCAGCCGGGGAAACAGCAGTGGGCTCGGTGCCCAGGGCCCCGGGTGTCGAGACACTGAGCGACTTTGCTGTTTTATTTTCTTTAGTCATGACAGCGCATGTGCATGCTGAGCGAGAAGGAGAGGGGCACCCGCTGCGCTGTGAGGCCGTCCTCCGGTGGATCTGGGGGCTCGCCTGTGTCTGGCGTGCTTCGGGCTGCCCAGGCTGGAGGGTCGGGCCGTGGTCACTGTGGGACCGGCTTCTCGGAAGCAGTGCTTCTCTGTACACTGCAGAGCCAGCCCTCACAGGCCCTCTGTCCCTCTGCTCGTGGGCCCAGGCTCCCTGCCCGGGCTACTGCATGGCGGACAGCCTTCCTCCTGCCTGTCCACCACTGCTCAGGCCTCAGGTATCCTGGCCTCCCTATGGCTCCTCTACAGGTCTGAAGAGTCCTCCTGCCCCTGCCCCTGCCCTGCCCTGGTCCAAGCCACTGCACTTCCTGCCTGGATGACACCACCTCTCCTGGGCCCCATCTGGAGCTTTGGGACACCAGGTTGTGGATGGGGCCTCCCATAAAGGCTCCGCACTCGGGGCAAAGTCGGATTTCTGACGCGGGGTCTGGCTCCTGCTCCGAGTGCCAACTCCACAGAACAGGGCCTGCTCTGAACCTGGGCTGGAGCTGCAGGTAGCTACGGGAGGTGCCAGCCCCACCCCTGCCCCACAGAGGTGGCCTGGCCCGCCTACTCTGCATGCAGAGCCCCCCCACACCCCCGCCCAGGCCTGCAGGGTGCTGTAGACCCTGGGGCTCCACCTGGGGACCTGTGCCACCGAAGTCCACACAAACTCTTCTCCAGCCCGGGGCTGTGCTGGGGAGTTGCTGGTCCCAGGAGAGGCAGAAGCCAGGGGCTGCCCGGGGGGTCTCTGAGTCACCTGTGCAGTGACTGCTGACCACCTTGCCAGTCTCGCTGCTGACCACCTCCCACCTTTCAGCCGTATCCTTCTGTCTCTGGAGTGGCGGGATCACTGTGGTCTTGGTTCAGAGACATGAAGATCTCTCTTTTTTGGCAGAGGTTTTTGCTATAGGGCACATGCACTCTCCAAAACAACAGAGAGACAGAGAGACAGAAAGCAAGAAATCACCCCCCATGGGGACTGGCCACGCCACAGTCTCTTCTCCTCCGTGCTCCTCTCGGGATCTTGGGCACGCACGGACATGCGTCCGGCGTGAGTATAAGCCACTGGGTCTGGGACTCGAACCGCGGTCGGCTACATGGGAGTCCAGTGACATAGCCATTACACCAACTGCTGGTCCCGAAGATCTCATTTTTTTGAGTCACAGAATTTCTCATTTCATAAGGAGGCACCTGGGTGGGTCTGGGGTCCAGGGTGTCTCTGGGAGCTACAGGCACAGCGAATGCCTCAGGGAGCCTGGCTGGGGAGCGACCTTAGGGACAGCCCCAAGTAGGGGCTGGGTGCTCTCTGGAGGTTCCTGCAGGAAGCTCGATGAACAAGGTGAGCCCCAGACAGAGCCCAAGATACCCCTGGGGCCTCGGGTCACCCTCGGGGTCCTCAGCCCACGCCTGGTCTTGTCCTTGGCCTGGCTTCTTCCGGGAGGATCCAGGACCCTAGCCTGAGGCTGAGCTGCCTGTGTGGCTGAGGAAGGGGAGCTGGCTGGACCCCACGCCGCAGCTGGGCACAAGACCCCTCCTTAGAGCTACCACCTGCTGCCCTCAGGCACAGGGAGGCCTTGGCGGCTAAGAGGAACTGTCTATCTCCGGGAGGAGAGGGAGGCCCGAGAACTGGGCCACTGGGCAGGTGAGGAGGGAGGTGGCCCAGCCCCCACCTGGAGCCGGCCTGCGCCTGCCCTGCCCCTGCCTCTCCGGACACCTGGCACTCAGGGTCGCTGGGAGCCCAGCCCTCCCAGCCCCCAGCAGAGGAAAGCTGTGAAATGACCAGCCAAGGCCCTGAGCCCTGTGAGGCCGTGCCGCCATCTGGCCCCAGTAAGAGGAGACTGAGGCCCAGGGAAAGCCTGTCCTGGTCCCACAGCCTGTCACTGGCAGGATCTGGGCTCAAATCCAGAACCACAGCATTCCGAGAAAGGCACAGTGGGCAGGGGCGGCCAGGGATACCCCTTCCCCCACCACCCCTTTATCCCGGTGGGCTTCTGGCTGGGCCCAAGGGGTGTGGGAGCCCTGCCCAGGGAGCCCCGTGTCACCAGTGCTGGTCCACCTGGCCTGCAGGGCTCTCGTGGGGTTCCAGTGAGGTGAAGGACGGGAGGTGTCCTGAAGGGCTCCCTGGCCTCAGTTTCCCCATGTGTCAGGTCAGGGCCTGGAGAGGACGAGGGGTGTCTGCAGACTCCCAGTCTAGGGGGACAGTGTGTGCATGGGCGCTCCCCTGGGGGAGGGGTGGGTCTGTGCCGCAGCTCAGGGCCCATGCAGGCGGCTGGTCCTGTGCTGGCTTGTCCTTATCACTGTTTTTAATAGCCTTTAAGAGCGTGAAGCGGTAAAGGGAAGAGGCAAGAGCCTGGCCCAGCCAGAAATCTCTGTTTCCTCTCAGCCAGGAAACAGGAAGTGAGCGTGCAGGGCGATCGGGAACCAGCCCCGGAGAACAATAGAACCCCCAGCCCCGAGGGGAAGAGGAACTACGTCAGGGCGGCGGGGGCAGGAAGCCTGACCTCCCCCACAAGCCTGCAAGGGCCGAGGCATAAATTTAGTCCCCTGCTCTTTTCCTGGTGAAGAGCTCCTGCGCCTGGGGGAGGGGTACCAAGGCTCACAGCAGTCCCTGAGGGTCAGGGCTCCCGGGGTCTAAGGGGCAGCTGCTGTACCCTCCTTTGGCCATGGGTAAACAGGTGAAGACAGGGCAGAGCTGGGCCTGGGGGGGTCGGGGTGCTGGGACCGAGCGCTCCATGGCCACCTAGCGAGGGCTGACACTCCAGACTCCATGGTTGCGGTCCTGGTCAGCGTCAACCCCATCTGGGCCCAGACCCCATACCCACGCGCACCTGAATAAGCGTAGGATCTGGAGGGGCAGGGAGCGGAGGGGTGGAGGCCCGGCTGTCGCAGCCCAGTGCCAGCTCTGCCCCCACCTCACTTTCCCATTTCCAGTGGGGTTGGTCCCGGCTACTCAAGCTCCCTGGAACCCTCAGCCTGCCAAGGGGCGGTGTGGGCAGGGGCACTCCCTGCAGCCACTTTGCCAGAGGAAGCCGGACAGCAGCGCCCTCCACCTACAGCGCGCTGCCGTGGCTCGGTGGAGCTGTGTGGCCACACCATGCCAAGCCCATCGCTGGAGAAACCCTGCCCCTCCGGGTCTCCGCCCGTCCCCAGCCCTGGCAACCACGGATCGTGCCTGTCCCTCTGGATCTGCCTGGACATTTCATCTGGAAGGAGCCAAGGGTTGGCCTGGCCACACCACATTTTGTTTATCCACTCCTCTGTGGGTGGACACACGGGCTGTCTCCGCCCTGGGCTCCGGCTGGTGCTTGGTGAGCACTGGGGACACCCATGGGGTCACTGCCTTTACCTCTGTCAGCTCTGTGTCGTGGGTAGGGACGCTGGGCCATGTGGCCACCGTGGGGGCTGCCTGCCTGCTCTCCTCTGCACAGCCGGCCTGCTGCCTAGGCCCGTGTGAGGCTGAGGCACAGAGGGGAAGGGATTGGCCTGAGGCCACCGCCTGGGAGCAGACCCCAGACCCAGACCTAGTGGAAGCCTGAGGTCTAGGTGGGTTGAGGAGGCCAGCGCCCCGTCTGAAGACCGGCCTGGCCCAGAACCCAGCAGAACTGCCTGCCCGCTGAAATGTCTCACTGTCCTGCCTGGTGCTGGGGGACCTAGGGGCCAGCACCAGGACACAGGGCTCTGCCCACCAGCAGGGAGACAGTGGGCTGTGCTGGGGACACTGACTCTGGCCTGGGCTGGGTGTTCCGGGCCCTCCTGGGATGTGGAGAGCAGGTCTGGGTGCTCAATTGCTCCTAGAGAAGCCCCACCATCCCCGGCCTCTCCCCTCGTTGCTGAGTTGAATTTCTGCCAGGACCCGGTCCCGCAGTCCAAGTCCCCACCGTGAGCAGGCTCCTGCACAGCCCCACATGCCAGGAGGGCCTTGCAGCCCAGAAAGGCTAAGTGCCATCCTAGCCACCAGCTGCCAGCCCTGTGGCCAGGGCTGTGCTCACAGCCCTCCTGCCTGCTGTCACTGCTGGGGGAGTGGCAGGCCACTGGCGACTGTGGGCCTGGGTCCGGTATTCCCTGGACACCCCAGCTTCCTGCATGTCTGCCCGCAAAGCCTCATCGCTGCTCTCAGGAACTGCCCCTGTGTGAAGGTGGCCCTGGGCCCCGTCCTGGACAGGGAGGGGTGTGGCAGCCCTTCCCAGGCCCTACAGTGGCTGTACCTAGCAGGGTCGCCCCGCACCTGGAGTTTCCGCACTGCGGCTACAGGCCACGTCCCGCCCAGCCAGACGTACACCAGGATATCCCCTCACCCAGCCCGCACCGCCTGACCTTGTCTGGGGGGGTCGCAGATCCCCGAGCAGCCCCTGCTCTGGACAATGGCCGGAAGCCCCTCGCTCGGGCCACGGACCAGCCTGTGGCCTGGGGAGGTGGACGGCTGCCCTGTGCGAGCCCGGCCTGCCCAGCTCACCCTGACCCAATGCCCGGACAGCGTCCAGCAGGAGAGGAGCTTCTCCCTAGGCCTCTTCCTTGGCTCCAGTGGCCCGAGACGGGGTGGCCACTCAGGGCGGGCAGGTGGGAGGGTGCAGGACACTGGGGGGTCTTTGGGTTCTGTCTCTCCTG